TCATAGAAGATCTACATGGCAATAAAATTGACTTTCTATTCTACCAATTAAATCTATCTAAAATTTTACCCGTCATAATGCCAAAATTGTATCTTCCTATTGAAGATTATTCCACCTTTAACAATCAAGAGTATGGAATGGAACATATTTTTACCAATTTCCTATTAGTTGAAAATAATCAAAAAAGTGTTTTAACTTATGGCGCAGATTCGAATTATATCAATTATAGAACTGAGGAAGTTCTTTCCGTTGAAAATGTAAATATGTTTCTTCTGACTCTTTTTTAAGATCAATTATTGCAGAAATTTTTAAATGCATTATTCTTCTAAGCTATAATTATAAATTTTATACATTGGTCGTGATATATGGGACTTAAATAAAATTAATTTATTTAAGTTCTGTCATCAAATTTTTAATGATAAATGATATTATTAAAATACATATTGACAAATTAAATGTAATTTTTTTTTAGAATCATTTCAGAATGGTAATTTGTAGACTTTTTTCATCATTAATCATTGCTTTATTGCATATTTATTTAAAATATTTTAACAATAGTGTTTTTTTATTTATTTATCATTTTCTTTAATGGGACATGTTCTAATTCTCTCTCTTTTTTTTTTTTTTTTTTACTTTTTCTACTAATAAATCACGTTCTTTATTCTTATTTAAACTCTATTATTTTATAGTATTAATTATATTTAAGAAAATTAAATAAATACATTGACATTTTTTATCTTAGTTATATGGTATTAAAATTGAATATAATATTAAATTAATATAATATTATAATTGCTGATTTAAATTTTATATAATATTTTATCTTTTGATAAATTAATCTTTATAAAAATAATGGAAACTAAAACTTAACACACATTAAAAACCATGAATATTTAAATATTATAATTTAAAATAATTTATAAATTAATAAATGATAATAACAAGATTACTTTATAAAAAATAAAATATTATATTAAGATATATAATTTATAATATAAAAATCTTTTTTCTTTAATTATTTAATAAAAAACCTAAAGTATTGGTAGTAATTTTTAATTAATATAGAAATATATAAACTTTTACAATAATAAATTTTTAAAATTAATTTCAAAATTAAAATATTTTAAAACATTAATCTTTATTAATAAACTTTATAAATATATATTTTTATATAAAATTATTAAGTTGCATGTAAATTTATTGGCTAAACAGTGCCCGATAAAAGTCTTTAATACATATGAGATCACGTGACAGAATCATGTTAGCCAATTGGATCAAATTGGACTAATTGGACTTATAAAACTGGATCATTGGACGTGACTGGACTTATAACACTGGACGGAATATAGTTTTTTCATAATTCGAAAAGTTATTCCATTCTGTTGCACGAGACCTGCGATCGAATGTTTTAGCCATGGAAACTTTATTTAAAACGGTGCGTATTTAGTTGATATATTGTATTAATTAACAATATAGTTGCGGGGCAAAACCCTAAACCCATTTTGGCAAAAGTCGAAACTTTTCAGAAATTATTTCGACAGTTTCGATGGGTTTCAATGGATTTCGACAGTTTCGACGGGTTTCGACGGGTTTTGATGGGTCTCGAAAGTTTCGATAACAACTTTGCTAATTTGACGGTTTAACAGGTTTATTGTAATACAATGTAGAATATAAAAACGATTTTTGATTTTTTTGCTTTTTATTTTAAATTAGAACAAAGTTTCCAAAATAATACATTATTTATCGAGCAGGTTTTAAATTGGAAGAACTGGTACTTGTTGAAGAATTAGAAAAATTACCTTATGAAGAAGATGATGATAGAGGTTGGAACCGGGTTTATTTTTATATCCGGATTTAAATCCGAATATCGAATTCTATTTCAAAACCTGTGAAATTTTTTTTTTACAGCTAATTTCAAAAGTTGCGGGACGTGTAAATTTTATCTGTCGGATTGTTCGGAAATGTCGGTGCCAATCAAATGATTAGAAATTTCTCGGCGCCAATCAAATTTATAAATCAGTTAAATATAAAAAAGCTTATGGTAAAGCTTCTTTATATCCACCTATAATAGAAATTTTAAAAAAAAAATATTCGTGGCGATTTTTGGCACTAATGCTGTAATTTGATTGGACGCCGAGAAATTTCTAATCATTTGATTGGCACCCAAATTTCCGAACAATCCGACAGTGCTGATAAACTAAAATTTTACGTCCCGCAACTTTGTATAATTTATTAAGCTTTACAGTTATTTTCAAAGTTCACGGGACAGTCGATAATATTTGAGACTCTTCCGAGAACATTTATAAAGATTCGGAAAAGACATCCACATTTTTTTATGAGTAAAAAAGTTGTGCCGCTATACTTGGAACTTTTAGCGATGTCTTTCTTCAAAAAAAATTTTATACCGTTTTTTACCGAGTTTTTTTCATCGATCTGCAAATGACCGGCCGTCCCGTGATTTTCAAAAAAGAATTCCCAACATAGCTTTTTTAAATATGAAAACCTGTAGTGGTGATAATCTTACAATCGAGAATTCACTGTTAGTATTATGAATTCGGTTCCTCGAAGCTCCATATAGATTATTACTTCAAATTAATTTGCTTTATATACTGCAAAAGTATATATGATTGCTAGGAAAATCAGGTTCCGGGAATTTTTTAGCAAAATTGAGATTTTTATTGCATTTTAGTTTTTGATGTCATTATATTAAAATGTATTAAGCTCTTAATTTTAGTAAAAATTTCTCGGAACCTGATTTTCCTAGAAACCCTCCAATATGTGATAATTTTTTTTTTAAAAAAAAAGGAACTGAATCAGCGAAACATTTGCTATTAAAACGAGCTACGAGACTGATTTGCACTGACAACATATGCGTATTAGCATTATATCAGCTATTTTGATCAAAATTAATAACCCACCATTTCAGAAGTGCCAAAATTGTTTCCGTTCTTTTTATAATCTTGGACCATTTCAGATATATATAAGTTTGGTCAAGTGAATATTCTCCCGCCGTTTACAACAAGGTTAGATTAAACATACCTTTAGATAAATATAAATGGTTGATTCTTCGCGTAAACAGTGATGAAATACGTCATACGTTTTAACTGCATCCTGAATTTTTCCCTTTTTTTGTTTGTAAATTTTTTTTTAGAGTGAAATTTTTTTTTTTAATGATATGTTACACGAGGAACACAAAAATTTATAGAATGTGATATTTGTTGTATAAACATTTGAAGAAAAAAATACATCAACAATAATTACTTTCTTTTTCTGTGTCAGTATGTACATGTACCTCTACTTGACGCTTGTAACTCTTATAATATTTACTTAGAGTTTAATTGCTAAAAAAGGTTGTTTTCCATTGTAATAATTGACAATGTTAAACAAAGAACAAAGGAAATATTTTATTACTAAAACAAATATGGTAATATCTATAAGGTTCCCAAGTCGACATGAAACTCAAAACTGAAACTCATTCAAAAAACAGTCTATAGATATTACCATATCTCATTTTGTAATAGTAACAATTGTGTATGTGTAAGGTTAATTATGAAAATCGTATGATTTTTTTGTTTGTAGCACATACCGTAAATCACAAAGCAAATTGTTCAGATTGCCATATTCCGTATCATCTATTTGTGATTCCGCATCATTAGGTGCATCCAAGATTCGTTTTGAAAGAATTAAATGATAGTGCATGTATTTAACATTTAATGAATCGAATTAGGTAATGGTTATAGGTTTCAAATCGCGTGTATCAGATATGACGAAACTTCGGCTAATAAAAAAATTTTTGACCTAATTTAGATGTCCTCTTTTTTACTTTTCCTTTGCTTTGTAAATTGGATATAAATTACACTGAATCAATGGAACATTACACAAACTGCAAATACTCAAAGTATTTGTTGCGTCTAATGGTAATCAAATATCGGCTTACATGATCTCGTCAAGACCTTTGATTATGTTTCAAGAAAAGATTTTTTGAATTATGTAAAAAATTTGCAGAGCATAATACAAGTAGGTTTTTCATTTTTTTTTTTGACTATTTTTTGTTTCATTCCGCACGGTCAACCAGACACGTAATGAATATATGGATTTCCTATAATTACAAATTTTTTTTAATTCTCAATTATCATGTAAAATATCTTCATGATAAATGAAAATAAAACATATACTAACTACGTAAAATTAATTCAATTCGGAAGCTAGTTATTATAGTAACTGGTTAATGCTAATAATATGTTTGTAAATTGAATAACATATGCTTTTTATTATTAATAAAAGAACAATTGTCTTCGTTTATTGGTTTCCAAAAAAAAAAATTGAGTCTAATAATCTTCGCTAAAATAAATGTGTGAATCATTGCTTACGGGTTTTTGTTATTTGTGTCATACATTAAACCATATAATCGGTGTTTCTATCCGAAGAACTGTATTAAGTTACCATTATAGCATAAAAATAAGAATTTAATAAATAATTAAGTATATATCCATAAATTCATAAGCAACATAAGCTCTAAATAGCTTGTTTTCGATATTATCCGGAACGTTTAATTGGTCATTAGCTTTCAATTTCGGTTATAAAACAACAAAGTTGAGACTTCACTTGCTTATAGAGGTTCTTACAAATTATCTTTTTAACTTTCGGACACATACAATACATCATCAGCGGGATAACAATAGTTGGTCTTACCATTTATTACACGTGATAATTGATTATATTATTAACCTTTTAGGAAATCATAAGTGAATACTTTTTGAAACATCCACTTAGGAAGAACTGGAAGAACTAATCTATAACAATTTCTACCCCGAATATGAAATCTAATCGAAATATAAAGCCATGCGCAATACTTAGCGCCAAAATGATGAATGATAACGACCTAAATGCTAACTCAAACCCACGTTCCAATCTTACGAAAAGTCGTTGCTTGGTTATTTCCAAAAATAGTCCTGCCTTCAATCTTTGAATCATCAAAATAGAATTGAGCAAATTATAATTTTCGTCGAAAGGCCTCCACACCAACAATCATGCCTTGGAAAATTTGATTATAAAAGACCAATTCACGAACAACTGAATTTTCAATGCAGTATTATATTGTAAATAAAGCGAATTCAGACACAACGATATATTCTCAGCAAACGAATGTTCATATAAGATCAAAGGATCTTTAATGTAGAAGGAATTTAAAACCAGATTATTTAAAAGATTTCGTTGGTAAATGTAGTCAACTTTACTTTACTTTATTGGTAGCAACTTTAATTATATATATTTTTAAAAAAATAAAAAATAAAACAAGGATTAGTATTTATATAAAGAAAAGAGGAGGTTGGAGTATTTTTAACATACATGAGAGCGGTATTAGATTTTTTTTTTCCACAGATATTACAATCCTGAAATGGTTTTTCTTCAATATTTGAATTAACAAAAAAAAGCTTTATGCAAATTTTTTTCTTTCAAAAGAATAACTTTTTACGATTATATTTAATGAATTAAATTTTATTAACTGAGACAATTTGAAAAGACTTTACGTTTTGATTTATTACTATACACCTTTATTAATAATTCAGTATATCGTTATATTAAAACAAATGATAAAATATAAATACAACGTTAAATTACATAACTTGGTAAATCCTTGTGTGAATATTAAAGTCACCTTATTATAAATAAGTAAAAATTTCAATTTTCAAAGTTGATAAAAAATTTGTGACACTATACTTCTAGTATCTTTGGATCTATACGGATCGAAAAGGTTATAAGTAGGTAAGGCCTAGAATGGATGCAAGCTATTAGAATCACTATCTGGAGAAGAATCCACACGTTACTGTATATTAGAATCTTCAATCAGAAAACATATACACTTGATGAATTTTATATGCAGATTGCACCCTCAATGGAAGAGGAACAAACTTCAGTATAATCCAAGTTCGCGCGTGAAACTTGTCCGACGATTTTGATTATTTCATATCAAATACGATTGAATAAAATCAAAATGATTTGATTGGCCATATCTTTTAGTGCAACACAAATTTTTTTTGTGAAATTTTAATTATTTGTTTCGTGACAGGTTCTTCAATCTCAGACTAATATTATTGGAGTCATATTAATCAGTTACTGTAATATCTAGCCGCAAAATTGGATTAGATTTACGTAGTTAGAATTTTTTTATTTTCATTTATCTCGAAGTTATTCTACATGATAATTGAGAATTATGAAATTATAGTAATTAAATCCGGAATGTGGAAACCCATATATGCATACCGATTCTTCGTGTGTCTGTTGGCTGAAAAAAACAAAAAAATCAAAAAAAAAAAATTGGATAATTATATTCTGCAAAGAATTTCTATCATAATCAAAGGTTGATGAGATTATGTAACTTGATTAAGAATAATATCTTAAGACGCAAAAAATTTTTTTTTTAAAAATTATGTAGTCCAAAGGTCTTATATTGCGCACCATTACTGATACGACTAACGCTAAGCCGTTGGTATTCTTCAACCTGCGTGACCTCGCTTGTCACTTGCCGAATGGTATCATACTTGGGAGAAGCCGAAAACCCTCACCGAGTAAGTTATTCAACTTTACATGCCCACAGGGACAGGTATTACAAGTACCCGGGCGTCGTTCGATATTCGACCACAATCTACTGGAAAGAAAGTCAAGACAACCAGATATGGATCTAAGATATTTAGATAATCAAGTATGATGGGATGAACCAATAGAAGTTAAAATCCAATCATTAGAAACTCAAATGCAAGTATTACATAGAACATTTCAAGGACTCCCCTTTTATCCCACTTCTCTTGAACACCTTCAACCTGAATTTCCTGAACTAGATTAAATATTTTTCTTTATTTTTTTTAGGTAAAAGCAAAAGTGTATGCAGTGTGACATACAGTCCATTATGGATATGAATCAATATAATCGTATTACTCTTATCTTATACAATAAATTATTCCTACTGATTTAATAACCTCTAAATCTATCAAATAATTTAAAAATTTTTGCATACCTTACACAGTTCAAAACAATTATTTATATAGAAATGACAAAAGAAATCCTGGAAAGCTATCAAGGGTAATTAGAACTCATGAAATGGAAGCTATTTTATATATGATGCATAATGATCCAATAGCTAGACATTTTGCTACTGATATTATGTTCGACAAAATTAGAAAAAGATATTATTAGCCTCAAATGTATAAAAATATTCGTGCATATATTAAAAGTTGTAACAAATGTCAAAGAAGAGGAAAATCCAGTAAACATAAAGATTTACATCCAATTGCAATACAAGCACCTTTCTATCAAATCAAAATTGACTTTATAGGACCTCTACCTATAACAGACTAAGGAAATAAGCATATTATAGTGGCCATTGATTATTTTACTAAGTGGCCAGAAGCAAAGGCTGTACCAGAAGCAACTGCTTCTCAAGTAGTTCAATTTATTTATGAAGAAATTATTTGTAGACATGGATGCTTAATGAAGATATTAACTGACAGGGGAACTCATTTTAATAATCAAATGGTAAATGAATTGATGAATAAATTTAAGATAAAACATCTCCTATCAACTCCTTACCAATGGTCTAGTAGAAAGATTTAATTTAACTCTATGTGAATCTTTAGCTAAAACTGCCCAAGAAATTTCAAATTGGGATTTGCAAATTGCACCTACTTTATTTGCATATCGGACTTCTAAATAATCTATAACCAAAATATCCCCTTTCTACCTAACATATGGGAGAGATGAACGATTGCCCCTTGATGAACCAATTGAAGGAAATGTGACTCTCAATCAACATATAGAATCTTTAGTAGATTATTTACCGCAAATCAGGGGTAAAGCTAAAAACTATGTGAAAAAATCACAAGTAAATCAGAAAGATCAATATGATCGTAATCTAAAGAAGATCTTTCATTTTAAAATAGGACAAAGTTTTGTATTACCATGCTGCAAAAGAAAAGTAATGGTCTGGAAAACTAGAACTAAAATAAAAAGGATTATACTACATTCATCAAATTTTGTTAAATGGATCTTACAAAATAAGAGAAATGAATGGAAAAGTTTTACAAACACCTGTTAATGGAGATCTTTTAAAACAATATCATAATTGATAAAATTGGAAATCTCAAATAATTATATAGTTTACCTATTCCTTTTATCAATTATTTTGTTTTTTTTTTCCTCTCTTCTTTTTCTTTTCTATTTTTTTTTTATTATTTTATTATTATGTCTTTAGAAGATTTTAAAAGTAATTTAACAAGAAGAATCTCCAACAACCTTATCCCTACTATATCCTCTTATACAGATAACATGAAGTTAAAAAAGAAAATTGAAATAACTTATCATATGTTAAGGAGAACCTCAATTCTTAGGGACCGTATATTAATAATGATAAATGCCTTCTATCTTGAACAACTATTAGAAAAAGAAACTTTTTCTCCAGCTCAACGTACTTACTTTAAAGGCATAATTACCAAATATTATTATACAGCATCTATACAAACCTATTTCATCTTTGAATTCCTAGGACCAGAACAGATTCAACATTTTCGATATCTAAATCTTCCATAAATTTGCTTAATGAAAAAGAAAAATTACCAATCTTTAAGAGAAGAAGCAATGTTGATTTGGTTCAGAGACTAAAATTTAGGGAAGGAAATTGAAACCAGCAGAAACTGACAGAATAGTCGCATAAGACAAATCTGCCAAATCTGCCAAATAGGACATACTTAATATTTATTATATTTTTATTATTTTTATTACTATTATCATTTATATCATATCCAATATAATTAGCATATCTGTTAGCTCTGTTATTATTGTCAGTAGTATCTTATTTACCATAGATTTTCTTTAATTGTATTTTTTTATATAAAGGGTATTAAAATGCTTTGGAAAAAGGAGAGATTCAAAAAGAGATTCCAATAAGTTCTTAACATTGTATTTAATATACATTTAATTACAATAATAAACACTCTTAATATTTTGTAAACATAAAACTTATAATTTATTTCTTGTTAACTAAACAAACTCTAATAAACAGCGTGTCAAGTTGATTAGATTTAAGTCATAGCTATTGCCTCCCTGACTTCAAATTATAGTTAACTTATTCGACAGAAAGAGTAACGTTAACAACATATAGGATAGAGATCCAGTCTTTCTGATTTTATGCTATGAGAAGTTACATTATCTAAATTAGCTAATTCATATTAATATTCAACTAAGCCTTTACCAAATTTAATTGTTTTACCATTTGATATTTGTTCAATTAATCTGCTTAACAATTATAAATCTAACTTTATTTCTGCTTCTTCTCTTCAATTTTATACAGATAATTCCTTAATTTCTCTAAATTCTTCAAATTGTCAACTAGGTATTATGTGATTACAAACTGATCCAAATTGTCTCTCACTTTCTTTTAATGCAACTCTTTTTTCACAAAGTCTCTTTTCTACTTTTGCAGAAATTTTCGCTATTTTAGTTGCAGTTTATACTTTACCTTCAAACTCTAATATCAAAATCTATACTAATTCACAAGTTGCTATCTCCTTCTTTTAGAAACTTTCTTTTCTTTTCTGTAACTCTTTATCTATCAATTCTACCTTCAAAATACCTTATTTTCATATTTGATTAATGTTATTTAACCTTATTACACAAAATAATATTTCCATTTTATTTACCAAAGTACAAACTCATAGTAATGATTCTCTTAATAATACTGTTAATAAATTAGCAAAACAAATATCTGCTTAACAATTATCCATCAACTGAAAGCATTTGGATTCTGAATATTACCTTTTTTACCACTCAACTCTAGTTATAACTTCTCATCATCTTTTATAAAAAATAAATTACAAGCTGTTTGGGCTGAATCTCTACTCTCATTATCACATTTGGACAAATATCATGACAAATCTATAGATTGGCCTCTCCTTTTTAATATCTTAAATGATAAAGAATCTTCTCATAAAATATCATTTATAGAATGCTTTAAAAAGAAATTTAAAATCAAAATGCTGTTTTAAATGCTTTTCATTCTAAAGATTATACATACTTGTGTATTAGAAATGTGCTCTTCATCACAATGTTTCTATTATCACTCACAAATTGAAGATTTTGAACAACTCTAGCTTTGTTTAAAGAATGATCTGAATATTCATGATCTGATTATCTTACATAAATCAACATTTATTATCCATCTTACTGAGTTAAATACTCTTAACAATAACTTTTTTATAGATGAAATATCATCTTCTAACATCTGAAACTCATTACACTTATTAAATAATTTTTGGTTTCTTGATTTACTTAAAGGCATAGTATTAACTTTCTTATTTAACAAAGTCTCAGCTTGTATATTCTTAATAAATTTATTACATAATCTCTTATCTTCACTTTATCATGATATCTCCACATCTTATCATAAGATTTGGATTAATAAAAATGCTGCTTTTAATAAATGAAAAATTGAAAACAACATTAAAGATGATTAAACAATCCTCTGAGTTTCTTCTAGTTTTTTACACTTCTCTTCTCTCTCTTTAACGTCTAATTCTAATTCTTTTTTAGCAGATTATGCCTATAACTCTTATTAGTTAAATTTTTGAAATGGTAATAAATCATGCTTTCCTTCTAGACGTTTGATAGCTATATAATAGTTTAGTTTAGTTTAAGTTTCTTTTCTCTTCTTTTTTATTTATAGTTTAAATTAGTAAAGTACAAAGTTAGTATTAATAAAATAGTTTAGTTTTATAAATTAATTTATAAATATTTTTGTATTTTTTGTTTTATTATATATATTTAGTATTATATAAATTTAACAAGATCATGTAAAACTGCTACACTTCAAAAAAAAACTATTTCTTAATTTTGAAATAGAAGTGTTCAACTCAGTTTTTACATGATTATTAAGATAATTATTTTTGAATTTATTAAATTTATTACAACCTTTTGTAAAAATATTACTTACTTTTTCCTCTTTACACCAAATATAATACATATAAAGCTTTCCTTCTTCATTTTCTTTCTTACTAACTATAGATATATTTATGATCATTTTGAATTCCAATCATTTCGTTCTTTTTTATATTTTTTATTTAGAATTTTTTTTAGTTTTTTTATGTATAGAAGAGACTCAGGATAATTTAATATCACTTCTTTCTTTATACTTTTCTATTGTATTTTGAAAATATCTTTCCATTATTAAATATAGTTTTTATTATTTGAGTAATTAAACAAAAGTTAGAATAAAGAAGTAAATTAAATTTTTTTGTTTATTTGTCATTTAACATTTTACCTTTAGCTATATTAATATATAATACATAGAATTAATTGTCAAATTAAAGATATTCATAAAGTTAATAGAAACAAAATTATGTATTTGTACTATTTGTGCAATTTGCGTAAATCTTGCAGAGTTTGTGCAAAATTTACACAGAATTTAAAAAATGTTAATTGTACAATTTATAGATCAAAATCATATACAATTTGCAGAAATTAAAATTGATTACATTCTACAAATTCTGCAAATAGATTTTATTCACTGATACTAATGCTTTTAGAAATGGCTTAAGAGCTATTCTCTCTCAAAAGTACTTGATGATGTAATAGCACATACCAGCAGAAATATGAATAAAGTTAAGTAAAATTATGGAATAACTGATCAGGAATGCCTTGCAGTTGTATAGATACTGTAAA